CCAACCTGAAGGCAGCCAGTTCGAACCTGCCAGTTGCTCTGAAGAAGAAATACAGGTAATCTCTTCTTTATTTACAGCTTTGAAAACTTACTGGAGATGCAGTTACAAGGGACAACCTGAAGGCATGTGACCATGTACAAAATTTATACTGAATAAAGAAATTGGGTTATAATGCTCATCCAAAATAGAACCACGTCTAAATCGCTGAACAATTATCCTATGTGAAATTTCATTGTACAGCTCGGGTCATGGGCTATTCAAGCACAAACATTTCATTTCAGTCCTATCAACAAAATTCCCAGATAGGTTACATAGCTTGAAAACAGTTCAAAGTTGGCAACCTGAGCCATGGAATAAGAAACTCAAATATTACAAAACTCACAGCTGCCAGTTCATTCCCCCACCTGTGCGTGCAAGTGTCCAAATATCTGCTTATTAATTATGATCTCCAAAAGCAGTGTAGTAGGTGCTGGAAAGAATCCACCCATGTGGGACATGTGGTACTCACACCAGCCTAGGAGCTTAAAAAAAAACAAGCTACTTAAGTGCCAGAACAAACGAAACATGGCCACAAGATTTAGATTTAAGCTGGGAAGAGGAGGGTGAGTGAGGGGATGAAGACAGTGCAAAAACATGGCTATATTGTGCTATTCATTCCAATAACATGACATTCTGGGAAAGACACAGCAAAGCCAGTGACAAGATCAGTGAGGGCAGGGCATTCTGGAGATGAACAGGTGAAACACAGAGCATTTGTAGAGTAGAGAAGCTATTCTGGATAATGCTGTAATGGTGGAAATTTAACTATTTGTCAAAACTCACAGGACCACCCAATGCAAACAGCAAACTCTAATGTGAACTTTGACTTTAGTTAATAAAAATGTATTGATATGGGTTCATCAATTTTAATAAGTATACCACAGGGATGGAAGAGGTTACCCAGTCTAGTGGAGGCAAAGGGGGACAGAAACTTAACTTTCTTCACAACGTTCTATAAATGTAAAAATAGTCTACAATGGGGGGAGGGGTGTGAGGGAAATGAAAATTGTTCTTGAAAATAATGTATTCTAATTTTGTAAATAAACTAGTAGAAAATTTAAGGGAGCTCTGGTGGCATAGAGGCAAGAAGCTGCGCTACAATCCCAGAGGTATGGGATTTGAATCCACCAGATGCCCTGCTGGAGAAGGAGGGGCAATCTCCTGTATCAGTCAGATCAAATTTGATGGTATATACACAAAAATAATGAAACAAAAGAACACACACGTCCAAAAAACAAAACAAAACAAAAAACCAAAACCCCACAAGCTAGTGGAAAATTAAATTTTTATTTTTTTTTTTTAAATCCTCAATTCATTGAACTGACCCTCCAATGGGATTCTAAGGCTGTAACTCGATTGCTCACCTTTCTCTCCTGGAGCTGGTAGTGAATTTGAACTGTCTGAGAGGTATGGTTGGCCTTTTTTGGGGTTATGAGCACAGCTCCCTACAAACTACACCAGCAGAGCTTCATACAACAATAATGTCTATTTTTCAAAAAAGTTAAGAGATTTTAATAATTTCAGAATATGTGGGAGAGCTAGTATGAGGAAGGATTGACCCTGAGGTTGGCCCCTGAGTTCTGCAGAACTACACAGAACCCAATCGATAGGTGTCCTTTTGCAGAACACGAGAGAAAAGGCTAAGAAGGCTAGAACAGGATCATTAAGCATCCCAAATATCTGACATGAATATTTTTGTGGTTTATCAGACAGCATGTAGCTTTTTTTTCCCAGTAGAAAAGTAATTCACACAGTGAGACGCCAATCAAGTCTATTCAGGCAAATCAGTGAAAAGCTCCGATCTTCACGCAGAACTTAAGAGTTCAGAATAAAGACTAGAAAGTTTTGGTGGCCTAGAGGCAAGAAGCTGTGCAATCCTGAAGGCACAAGGTTCAAAGCCACCAGCCACTGGACAGGGTGAGGATGGGCAACCTCCTCTCGGGCGATTAACTGCCTCTGAAAACCCGCTGGAGGGTCAACTATGGGTTGGATTCAACAACAACAACAAGAGGTACAGCTACCATCTGTCTGAAGTGTTCATGTCATAATGATGATGTAAGGTTTCTAGAATCAGATACAGACTGGGAAGAAAGGCCTGGCGACCTACTTCCTAATAAAAATTAGCCAGTGAAAACCCCATGAGATCTCAGTGGTCTGATACTGTTGAGCCAGGTCTGTGTGAGTCAGAAAATACTGCAGGGCAGCTAAGTCACACATGGATGATTGTGGAGAACTGGCCTGAGTTCTGAAGGAGGTATAAATGCCATTCAGGCCAGGTGAGGAAAGGGGTGGGGAGGAGACAAACAGGAAGGGGTACATAAAAGCACAAAAGGCTAAGCCAAGAGCAGGGAATGAGCTTTAAACCCAGGATGGAGGAGACTGAGACAAATCAGGCACAGAACAGCTCCCATGTGCCACAGGTAAGCAGAAGATCGCTTACAATCTAAAATTCAGATAGAGAAAAGCCATTACTGACAAACTGAAAAAGATAGGATCAGATAAAGGAGGTAAGGAAAGGGCTTGTGAAGAAAAAGGAGACCATGTTCAGTCAGGTGGGTCAGGGAAACACCAGGGGAGGAGTGCAAAGGATCCCCCCTCACCCACACCAACCCATACTCACCCCCCCACCCCCACTCCTGAAAACAAGCAGGAGACACTGACTGTGCTGAGGAAGACACCAAACGTTTTAAAGAGGGGAGTGGCTGCAGAGGACAGATGCCTCAACAAGATCAAAGGGCCAGGTTCCAAATTTAGTCAGAAAGAGACCACTGGGAATCCAAGAGTGTTATTTCAGTCAAGAAGGAATTTCTGTTTGCTCTAGGGCTAAAGGTTGAAAATGTAGACTTCTCCTTGGAGAACTGTGGCAGAAGAAAAATAAATCTGTAACCAAACAGGGCAAAAAAAAAGAAAGAAAAAGAAAATAGGAATCCCTGCGTGGTGAAAACAGTTAAGCATTTGGCTACTGAACAACAGGTTGGCAGTTCGAGCCCAGCCTTTTGCCTTAAAACTCTATGCTTTGAGATTCTTTCTGAGAAGCCTCCTGAAGCCACCAATCATTAAAAACCCTCCAGAGTGCAATTCTACTTGGAAACACAGGAGGTGGCCAGGGGTCAGAATCATCTAGATGGCAACTGATTTTGTTTTGATGTGGTTCACATGTATCTGGACAGTCCAAAGATGAGCCTCAATTGTCCCCTTCAAGTGTGTGCAAATGGCCGGTTGTGTCTCAATTCCAGTTTATTATCCAGATAAACATTTCACCCAGTGCCTTTCAACTGTAGCCTTCTGATTTCAAGCAAAGTACATCAGAGATTAAAATTATGCCCAGCAGTCTTGATTAGCAGAAGATAACAATAATGGCAATTATCATCATTAAGTGTTATTAAGCCCCAACAGAAGTGCTAAACACTGAGGCTATGTGTGCCCACTAGGCACGGCATCTCAGCGGAGCAGCCAGAATAGGAAACGGAGCAGAGGCAATTACAAAGTGTTAAATAACGAAGATGACGGGAGCGGTACGTGAAGATGCTATTGACTCAATTATATATGCCTTCAAAAATAGCCGCTCCAAGTGGACATGCCCAATATTGACAGTACACTCATTCTAACGTAACTGTAAAGATTTTATATAGCTTTATATTTCAATTCATTCTACTTCCCAGAAGTTTTTGCCCCAGTGGATGGGTGCTGTTGTTGTTGTTAGGTGTCATCAAATCAAGTCTAACTTAGCGACCTTTGAACTGATCTGAACACTGTTCAATCCTTATAATCTCCAACATGCTCAAGCCCAATGATGAAGTCATGGAGTCCAACCTCCCTGACTGATGGTCTTCTTCTTTCACTGACCCTCCCTTTTCCCAAGTATGATGTCCCTCTCCAAGAAACAGCCTCTCCTAGCAACAGGCCCAAAGTATGTGAGATGAAGTTTCATTATCTTTTGTCTCCAAGGAGCATTCTGGCTGCACCTTCTCCAAGATAGATCTGTTTGTTCCTTTGACAGTCCACAGGATATTCAAAACTTTTCTCCAACATCACAGTTCAAAAGCATCAAGGATGGTAAGCATATCGTAAAAGTACAATTCAGGCAAATACTGCTACTTCCCAGGACCCACTCACTATGCCAAGGTTGTTGCTGTTGTTATGTGACATTGAGTCACCTGCAACTCACAGTGACCTTATGTACAATAGCCCTAAACGTTGCTCTATCCTGTGCCA